AGACAACCCCGTAACAATATGCGTTTTGTACTGCTGTTACACAGCACAAAACGCATAAAAAAAGGGTTTTCAAATTTGCCTAGGATACCGCTTACTGATATGCGACCCCTTTATTACCGATACAAAGTAAACAGTCGTTCATATGGCCTCAAAAAAAGTGGCAAACATATATTGATTAGACCACAGGTGCAACTGGAGACGTGCATCTCTGGCGGAAAGTCTGGCCAAGCTGCGACAGGCATTTGAGTACCCGACAGTATCATTAAAATTGGAGTCCCTCATCTGCTGTTCGGGCAGGCTCGGTCTCGGAGTGCTAATTTGTTGTTTCAGAGTGCCAATTCTAAGTTAAAATTCTGTGTCAGTTTCGCTTGTGATCATCTCGTGACTCTTTTCAGATAGACATAATAATATGTAAAAACTGTGGCTCAACGCTGTGTAGGATGGAGCATATGATCAGTGTATCAACAGAGGGAATCAGCGCTCATTACGTTAATCCTGGTCTCGTTTTCATTATTCTTGTAATTTTTATACTTATTTTCCTTGCCAACAATCGGTGGGTGCCGCATGTTATTGAGTGGTACCTACAAGGAAGCAAAAAGCGACACCCAAAGAGATGGCGCACATGCATCGAATAGGCGGTGGGTACCCAACAGAAGAAGTATGCTGCCCAAGATTGAAGGGCCTGGCACAGCTACGTTCGACTTACAGGAACCCGCTTTACTCTTGCTGATAGCTTGAGCAGTCCCAGTTTCCGTGACATAGGATATAATTTAGAAACTAAAACAGCTTCATCAGAATAAATTTGGAAATTTAGGAATGAAATATTGCATTATTTGCACATTTCTTGTGATTTTAGCTGGTTATGTGCACGATTTGTTTACTGTCTCAGAGGTAACTTCAACGACAGCGCGTGGCCAACCTTCAGCCGAATATTCATGGTTTCCTGGGTTTGTGTTTCTCCACAACTTAAATTGGTTAAAGATTTGCTTGACGCCCAAGGCGGAAAGTTTTTGAATTTTTTTAGTCCGGAATTTGTATGCCTAAATCTCATCATTGTGTGTAGTTGTTGGAAATTTTTGCAGCTATAAGTGGACAATCCATGAATGTGCAAACTGCGGGCAGCATGTTGGCTGGCGATTCACCAGTTCAAAGCTATTGCCAGCTTCGTTTTTCGGATTAACTCGGAGCGCAATCCGCCCGGCCGATTCGCGACATCCGGTCGCATCAAATGTTCAGCGCATTGAACAGCTAGCTATTGTATAGAAATGAGCT